CCGCAGCACCTGGGTTCAAGCCCTGATCAAAGCAACATCGCAAAAAATATAGAAAAAAGGTTTTTTCTTAACAGCGGTCGTCCCTCGGCAGGCAATGGCAAACCTCCGAGTGCATTTCTGCCATGAAAAACAGCTTCTGCAAAACCATTGCTTACCATAAAATGAATACGTGTTATGAATTTCAACCTTAACTCCTGCGGCACCAATCAGGTAAATTTTAATCAAAAGAATTCTCCATCACACAGGTACATAGCTCACATTTAATATTTGAACGAAATCGGCTAATAAATACGATTTTTATAAATAACTACTCCAGCACCACCTAACGACTTTTCTAGTAGCATGTNACAGTTTATAGCGAAACTCGTAAAAGCAAAGCTCCATTCTTTGTGAAAAACTTAAAAAAATTCTTCAAAATTTTCACATAAATTTTACCTTACTGAAAATTAAAGACAAAGTTACAATAGTTCAATGGGATTTAGAAATCTAGGAGAAAATGGTTCCCAATCGAATGATACTTGCGCGTTTACGTCAATGTATATCGAGCCAGCCTTTCCAATAATTACCACTTTAAGCCATAACTACGGTATTGATAACATATGTAGCTGTGTAGAATTTCAGGACGTTAGCGTAAGCAGTTCCAGAGATAAACTATATGAGAAGTTCAGTTTGTATGGAAGGAAGGAGCCACGCCCCCTTTCCCAATGCATTTGCAATATATGCATCAGTGCTAAGTTTCAGTTCCCCAGCGTAATTGGTTTTAGAGATATATTGGTTTTTTACGTTTTAGTCTGTATAAGAATTTTAGGAATATCCCGAGCTACATACCGAGTAAATTTTTGGTCAGAATATTTATTTTCAAGGTGTTGCCAAATATGAACCAAGTCGATGCAGCCGTTTAGTAGTTTAGTGAAATACATTGTAAAGAGAACTGTATGAAATTGTAAAACGTGACGTCTCAGATTTCTTAATTTTTTGGCAGCAACAACGAAAAGTTTTAATTTTTTTAGCTAAAAACCTTCCACACAGAAATACAAAAAAAAATTAAGTTTGTGGTTATATCAAGGCGAAATTTTGAGAACGGTCCGTTGCTAACTCTAAATATAAACAACGACGCACTGGAAAAAGTTAATACGTTCAAATACCTAGGAATAATGATCGACGATAAACTAAAACAAAAAAAAAATGGATTCTATATTTTCAATTAGAGCTCTAGCAATATGTACATCGGTGAAAACTGCATTTAACTCCATACATTAGCTTTTGCGTGATGCGCTTACAAACATACAGACAAACATACCAAAATTTTATATTTGGCTTCTGTTGATCTAATAAACCCCCTATTAATTTTTCTTTAACATCTATTATGTACAGATATCGGCCTGTTGCAATTTTATTATTCTCAAATACTCTCGTTTGATACCCATATGGCAACACTTAGTTTATATTATAAATTTAACTGAATTAAAGTTTTCAAATAAGTGGCAACCCGCTTCAAGAATATTTTCAAAAGTAAGCTTCCTAATCCTCTTTAGTTTAATATTCGTATTGCAATATTTCATTTATTTTACAAATTTTAATGAATACAATTTTTCAATCAGTTGGCAAATCCCCTAAAAATATTTTCAGCATTAAAATTTCCTAGCCTCTTTAGTTTGATGTCAATATTGCAATATTCAATTTATGCTATCAATTAAATTAAATTATAGTTTTCAAATAGGTGGCAACCTTCCACAAAAATATTTTCTGCTGTAAGCCTTTGTAAATTTCTTTCTTTTAACAGCCATATTGCAGTATTCACTTTACCGTATCAATTGACCTAAATTGAAATTTTAAACACAGGTGGCAACTCTCTCATTTTTTCTTCTATATTGGAAGCTAGATCTCTAGCGATACATCGGTGAAAACTGCATTCAATTCCATGTTTTCACCTGATGCGCGTACAAATATGTATACAGACAGACAGAGATTCAAAAGTTCTAAAAATTGTTTATTTGGCTTCTGTAGCTTTAATAAAAACCCACCATATTAATTTTTCTGTAATATCTGTAAGGTACAGACATCGACCTGTTACAATTTTATTATAGGTATAGATGTAGATATAGATTTCATTTATTTTATCAATTTGATACAATAAAATTTTTCAAACAGGTAGCAGCCCTCCCTAAAAATATTTTCGGCGATAAAATTTCCTAAACCCCTTCAGTTTGATACCCATATTGCAATATTCAATTTATCTTATAAATTAAATTAAATGTAAGTTTTCAAACAGCTGGCAACTCTTAAAAAAATATTTATGGCTGTAAGCCTTCTTCAGCCTCTTCCTTTTGACGCCCATATTGCAAAATAAATTTTTTCTTATCAATTTGCTTAAATTCCAATTTTCAAACAGGTGGCAACTCTCTAATTTGTTTCCTCCTATATTTTAAGTTAGACGTCTACCAATACATCGGTGAAAACTCCATTCAAATTCATGCATTCGTTTTCGAGTGATGCGCGAACAAACATACAGACAGACAGACAGACAGACAAAAGTTCTAAAAATGGTTGATTTGGCTTCTGGTGCTCTAATAACGACCCCCCACATTAAATTTTCTTTAATATCTGTAATGTACAGAAATCGACCTGTTACAATTTTATTATATGTATAGATAATACAAAGTCTACTGAGAAAATCGTCAAAATCTATGCTGCATAAGCTTTATCTCTTATACCACTGATTGTTCAGATACCAGTGCTTGCGAAATATCTCATTTATTTAGGAAGCTAAATCCATTAAATTGTGTTTCCGGTGTACATACCGATCACATAGCAGTGAAAATCTCTTAGATTGGTGCTATATAAGGTATTCTCCTATACCTTTGATTGTTTAGATATTATTTTTTTATATGTATCTCCTCTACCTATGTATGCTGTGAATATATAAATTTTTTCAAATGCAGTAATCTGTTAAAGTAAAATTTTCATGAAAGGTATGAAGCCTTCGGCATAGCCGAAGACAGCGCTGCTCTTAATTGTTTATTTACACTTTCGAACTCATATGAAAGTTGCTACACAACTTAGGTATGCCGAAAAAACATCGATGCCTCGAAAATATCGATGTTTTGCTTCGATGCATCGAAAATTTTCCACTCGATGTATAAATAGTCGATGCGTGGGGGCATCAAGACGATGTTTTCCGATACCGGTATGTTTTTTAACATAGACCAAAATGCAATTAGAGGTAGCAGGAACGATGATAAATGCACCCGCTTTAATTGTGAAGCAACCTCAGGTTCACCGTTAAAGTTTGGTCCGATAACCCGCGTTGCCTTTCTTCTAGGTCTCTTATTGTTATCGGGCACTGTAAGCCAGTCGTGTTCCTGAAAAGGAGGGCGCTTTCGGGGCCACAAGTACAAGTACATCTTAACTTTGCTTTGCCTTAAGAAATTAAAACTAATAACTTAATCGATATTTCTCAAATAATAAGAGTTAGAAGCATCAAAGGTCTCTGCTTGAAACTCAGTTATATTTTTATATTAAACCATTTTTAATAATGTATGCATCTTCAGCAAAATTAACATATTTATTTCTTGTTTTTTATTCTCAGGTGCACTTAACACATGATGACTTCGTCTCTCTCTTCAGTATGTCTTTTTGGGAATTTGATGAGCTGCCTGTGTGGAAGAAACAAGAGTTGAAAAAGAAATATAAACTGTTTTAACTGTTTTTTTATGAAATTCTCTATTTTAATTGTAACTGCTTACAAACTGTATTTTTGTAGTATTGAACTATTATACTTATATATACACATATGTACAACAGAAATTGTACGTTTTATGTGGCTTAAAATAAAAAATAAAAACTGTATTCGCAATATTCGTATATATTTTGGGTAGTATCATCACTTGCGAAGCGAATGATTTTGGCGAAGCGAACGGTTTGGCGAAGTGAATTAAAAGGCAGAGAAGGTATTAAAAGTGTGCGCGATGCAAAGAACTTGCACAAGCTGGTAAAAGCGAACACTTTGAATGTATATTTAAGTTGCGTCCGCCAATCCATTCGCTTCGCCAAACCGTTCGCTTGAGGCATTTGCTACAGTAATGAGAAGTGGTATTTTATCAAGGCCAGGTTACTAAATTTGAGTTGGAAATATTAGAACCCGCCGTGTCACCTCCAAGAAGGTTACACGTTCACGCGTCGTATACCTGGAACCATTTTAAGATAAACTTAGAGGGATTGATATCTTTCGTATGCCTAGCGCGTAGACGAGATTTTATAATTTTATAGTTTTAAACGGGCTAAATGCCTTAACTCGATTAAAAAATAACGAGCTATAACGAAATGGGCACAGAAATAAAATCTAACATCATTAAATTATTATTCATATTTGTATAAAAGCGCGGGGTGAAACCCGTGGGTATAAGCTAGTAATGATATATAATTAGACTTCGGATGTTTATGCAGAAAACGAAGCCTAAAAATATGTACGCACACTTAGAAAAAATGTTACCAAGATTTTTTAAAAAGATTACCAAAAAGTTACCAAAAGTATTAAATAATAAATAATATAAAAAAAACTTTTTAATATACAACGCTTTTATAAATGGACTAAAAAGTAGAAAATAATATTTCTCAGTCCCATAGAATTTGTTTTGATAACTTTTGATTTTGAAATTTTAGCAAAAGTCATTATAAACAATCTATGAAATTGAAAATGAAAAGCGTGGGGCGCATGTAATACACTTGAATTGATATGAAAAGTAATATATGTATGTATGTATGTGGGTATATGAATAACGACCGCTTAAAATCGATTTCAAAGTTCTACTTTCGCTGTAGAAATTTTAGGTCTACGTTATGTAGTTTGACTATTGTCAATTAAATCGAATGCTTTGTATTGCATGCGCTCCACGTTTTTCATTTTCAATTTCATAGATTGTTTATAATGACTTTTGCTAAAATTTCAAAATCAAAAGTTATCAAAACAAATTCTATGGGACTGAGAAATATTATTTTCTACTTTTTAGTCCATTTATAAAAAGTTTTTTTATATTATTTATTTTTGTTTTTTTTTTTTGTATGGAAAAGGAGTTCCTTTGCATTTACCTGTCGCATTTACCAAGAACTTCTGCTGCTGATTTTGGAAATGGCTTTTCGCTTTCCTTATTTGTCCATCGTTCCAACCACACTTTATACTCTCCTTCCAAATTGATACCGTCTTTTTCTAAGGAAGCTGATGAAAGCGTTCTAAGAAGCTGATGAGACTCTGAATTTGATCACATTATTAATATTAACTTTAAACAAACAATTTTATAAAATAAGAGATGCAAAATAAGATCTTAGATCCATAAAAGTCTATTCCTTTTCAAGTACATATGTACACTCAGTAGTCGGCCGCTGTGGTGTAGTGGTAAGCAGTGCGCGCTTCCACTCCGCAGCACCTGGGTTCAATCCCTGGTCAAAGCAATATCGTAAAAAATTTAGAACAAAAAAGTTTTTTCTTAACAGCGGTCGTCCCTCGGCAGGCAATGTCAAACCTCCGAGTGTATTTCTACCATGAAAAAACAGCTTTTTATAAAAATCCATTCGCAATCCGGAGTCGGCGTAAAACTGTAGGTCCCTCTGATTTGTGTGACAATATCAAGGCGCACGCTACAAGTCGGAGGAGAAGCTAGGCCAAACACTAACATACATATGTGTAAGCGCCAATCTATTATATATGTACACTCATACAGTCATGTAAAAATTAATAGGGACACGATATTTTGACCAGTTTCGGCTTTTTTCCATTGCTCGTTTACTGTTTATTATTTTTTTATTAAAAAAACAGCTCAACTTTGTAGAAATATTAGAAAAATTCAGGAAACAATTTTTACAACAAACTTTTTATTAAGATTTTCTAGAAAAATTCTAGGTATGCAGTTTTATGGCGCATTAAATTCTAGCTTAAGAAAGTACAAGTTTCAAGTAGCTCAAAATTCGTGTTGATTTTTGATAAATTTTTTAGCGAATATTGTTATTATTTTATTCCATACAAAAAATGTTCGAACACACTTTGTATGAAGAAAATGCTTGACATCGTCAATAATCTTAATGAAAAGTTTGCCCTAATTTTGTTGAATTTCTCTGATTTTTATACAATGTTTAAAATTTGGACTTATATTGTTTTTGTTAGATAATAAGCTGTTTTTATTATTATTATTAATATTAGACAATAGACAAACAATGGAAAAATAGCCGTAAATAGTAAAAATGTGGTGTCTTTATTGTTACTGTAGGTAACTGTGCAGTAAAGAAAATTAAAAAAATACTTACCATTATTGACACAGATTTCCAGGATCTATTTATTTTTTGCACTTCTTCACAAATGTCGAAATACCGAAACTTTATTTGCACTTAATCGTAATGAACCGCGACTCGAATTTACACAATAGAAATATTGTACTTCGTATACTCAAGAATTTTCTACCAAAAATGAGCTACGCCAACGATGCAGACAAGTGTGCACGCCGCACATTCACGAGGTGGCGCCTTCAGCAGTACCGCTATTTTCCTTGGCGAATTTGATAGAATCAGCTATTTGCGTGACATCAGCAGAAATTCTTTGTTCTCGTACAGTAGTTATGATAATTGTAATAGTAAAATTTGTTTGCTCTCAAAACAAGCAGAAGGACCAGCAAAAAATTGGCGTAAAATACGCTGTAGTGAAATGTACTAGTTGCAAACTACCTCACAACTATTATGAACCGCATGCCCAACTAGTCAGCCAACTATCTTTTTTCCATGCAATCAACTGGTATTTTTAACATGGGGATGTTCTACGAGATGGCAATTGTCAGATTTCGATCAGAAATATACCAGTCTCGTACTAGTTTAAAATAGAGTGAAAAATATTAGTCCAATTATGGACCAAAACCACTACTTTCGATGTCAAAAAAATACAACGAATTCAAGAATATACAATAAAAAACTTTTGATTTAGTACATTTTAATACATTACACATTTTTATTTAGCAGCCTTAGATTTGCCAATAATTAGTGTTAAATTTTTTTAGTATAAACAAAAAGGAAAAATAAATACATAAATATTTGAAACTTTCGAACATAAACTTAAATGCATTTTCCATTACATGGTACTAAAAGTAAAAGCTTTCAGGTACAATAAATACTATATTTTTATCTTTTTTAATAATATTAAATATGGAAAAGAAAACATTTCAGTTGAAAATAAAACGAATACTTTTNTCGTATACTCAAGAATTTTCTACCAAAAATGAGCTACGCCAACGATGCAGACAAGTGTGCACGCCGCACATTCACGAGGTGGCGCCTTCAGCAGTACCGCTATTTTCCTTGGCGAATTTGATAGAATCAGCTATTTGCGTGACATCAGCAGAAATTCTTTGTTCTCGTACAGTAGTTATGATAATTGTAATAGTAAAATTTGTTTGCTCTCAAAACAAGCAGAAGGACCAGCAAAAAATTGGCGTAAAATACGCTGTAGTGAAATGTACTAGTTGCAAACTACCTCACAACTATTATGAACCGCATGCCCAACTAGTCAGCCAACTATCTTTTTTCCATGCAATCAACTGGTATTTTTAACATGGGGATGTTCTACGAGATGGCAATTGTCAGATTTCGATCAGAAATATACCAGTCTCGTACTAGTTTAAAATAGAGTGAAAAATATTAGTCCAATTATGGACCAAAACCACTACTTTCGATGTCAAAAAAATACAACGAATTCAAGAATATACAATAAAAAACTTTTGATTTAGTACATTTTAATACATTACACATTTTTATTTAGCAGCCTTAGATTTGCCAATAATTAGTGTTAAATTTTTTTAGTATAAACAAAAAGGAAAAATAAATACATAAATATTTGAAACTTTCGAACATAAACTTAAATGCATTTTCCATTACATGGTACTAAAAGTAAAAGCTTTCAGGTACAATAAATACTATATTTTTATCTTTTTTAATAATATTAAATATGGAAAAGAAAACATTTCAGTTGAAAATAAAACGAATACTTTTGTTAATTTTTGAGTGAACTAAAATAAAAATATAAGTTTTCATTAAAATAAATTAAATTCATTAACTATTTCAGTCATTTCTTTTTAAAAATTTTTAAAAGTAATAAATAATGTTTAAAATTTGAGATTTGGATAAGAATAAAATAAATCAATAATTCAAGCAGTGATTAATATTCTTAATTTTTGTCTATACTTTGGCTTGTTGATTGATAATTGAAGTTAATCAAATAATTATATTAATCGTGTAATTAAAAAGTCAAAAATAATTGAAAACGGTCAAAAATAGCAAAATAATGATGTAATTAAATTTAACGAAATAATTCAATTTTTTGGTTTCAATAACTCATTATTAATCATTAAAATGGTGCTAATATCGGTATTTAAACATTAAACGGTTATAACAACNTGAATATTAATCATTATTTAACAGGTATGGTAAAATTGCGAGTACGTACTCGCTTTAACGGTTTACCATATACTCATATAAAAGTTATAATATTTTGAGTACTCTATTGTATTAAACTGTCGAAGTGAAATAAAACTGGGCATGAATAAATCTTTTTGTACTTACTACAAGTCTGATCACTTTTGAACTAGTTCGGTTTCAGTCAGGAAATTCTAGTTGTAAACTAGTATTTTTCCTGACAAGTTTGGGGTTTCACTGCAGGGTAGTTACTGCTGATTTCTACTAGCTTGGCGTGCNAAAAAACTGTGCGATTGAAGATTAAAATAAAAAAAACTTAATAAAAATTTTTTTAAAATTTCTAATTTGAGATAATATATTTTATCCGAAATTTTGCTTTTTCGAGCTCCCCCCCC